TATAGGTGGCCTGGTCGCAGACCAGGCCACGGGGACGTTAACTCTTGAAATCATCGCAAGGTAAGGTAACAAGGTCCTGAACGATTCCTTACACAAAATTCTAAAGGCATTTCTTATGTTGGCCAATCCGGTATATGCCGCTAATATCCTTTTGATCTGGGCTTCTGGGGACAGGTTCTGTGTGATATGAACCCCCAGATCTTTCTCTATTTGACTATTGCCAGATTTCCCCTCCCAGATGATAACTTGTGTTCAAGCTCCTCCTCCCTACGCCTAATTTCATTACTTTATATGTCCCTGAGTTAAACTTTAGTAACCATTTTCTAGACCATTCCTCCAGGTCGTCCTGTAGTCTGTCTATCTTCACCTGTCTTGATTCATCTCAATTTTTTCATCATCAGCTAACATTGAGAGGAATAAATCTATACCATCTGGGAGATCGTTAACATATATCAGAAACAGGATGGGTCCAGGTACAGAGCCCTGTGGGACTCCGATGGTGGTATATTGCCATCTTTGATGTCTCTTCCCCCTCACAATTACTCGCTGTTTGCTGTTTCTTAGTATGATTTATTCACTAGTGCACCATACCTTTCACTCCTGCCTGTTTCTCCAACTATTATAACAATCGTTTATTGGGTACTGTGCCAAAGGCTTCCTGACAGTCCAAGAAAATGGGATCTACCCACCCTTCTCTTTTTTGCCTAATTTTTGTCACCAAGTCATACAATTATATTACGCCTGTTAGGCATGATTTACGATCCTTGAATCCATGCTGGTAATGTGTTACAAAGCAATTTCCCTCCTGATGCTTCTTGAGCCTTTTCCTCATGATTTTCTCCTTATTGCATGGCTAGGGAAACTGGCCTGTAGTTCAGTGCCTCTTGCAACAGGCAACAGGCACTGAGCTTTTTTAAGTGTAGGGAATGTTTTTTTGTGTAGGTGAAGGCAGTCTTTTGTATGGGTGAAAGCACGTTCTTTTCTTAAGTTATAAACAAAGTCTTTTGTGTAAGCGTAGGATATTTGTGTAAGTGAAGGGTATTTGTGTTAGTGTTGATAAGATCTTTTGTGTAGGAAAGGTGTTTTGTTTAAGCGTAGGATATTTGTGTTAGTGTAGGCAGGGTCTTTTTGTGTAAGGGGCAGTAAGGTTTGTTATGTAAATGTATGTAAGGTCTTTTGTGTAAGTGTAGGTAAAATCTTTTGTGCAAGGAGAATCAAAATATTGTTCAAACGTTAATGTAAGGTATATCGGGTAATTTAAAGTACGGTGTTTTGAATTCGACGATGGAAGGCATTCAGTTCTGTTTGATAGTTTAGCAAAGAGGCAACCGTGACCTGAAAGCTCAGCCTAGCTGATGAGCTGCTCCTGAAAGCTTAATACTGATAATCTTAGTTATCATGGCATTTATTAATATATTTTTGTACATTACAGCTGACCCGTGCGCCAATGTGACATGCTCTCCTGGCGTCTGTGTTGTGGATCCCAAGGGCATTGCAAGATGTTACTGTCCTGCTGGTTACATTGACTCAGAGGGCACTTGTTCGCGTAAGTTCGCGGTATTGATTACTTTGTATTAGATATCGATTCTAATGTCTTTCAGTTTATAAAACATTTACTTGCTTGAACAAATCCACAAGGGCCGTGACGAGGATTCGAACCTGCGTCCGGGACATCCCAGACACTGCCTTAATCGACTGAGCTACGACAGGGTTAAAAGGCCTATTGACATAGCTCGGGTGCAGGGGGGGTTGTGTAAAAGCCTGGTTTGTGCCTCGGAGAGGCTACGGGATCCAGGAAGTTCAGTAGAACTTCGGTTTCAACCCTTTTAACCCTGTCGTAGCTCAGTCGATTAAGGCAGTGTCTTGGATGCTCCCGGACGCAGGTTCGAATCCTCGTCACGGCCCTTGTGGATTTGTTCATTTGATTCATCACGTTAGTGTGATCTCTGTGTGTGATTTACTTGCTTCAAATGCTCATACATGATATCTATGCGCAAAATGGTAGCAAAGTTTGAAAACTTTAAATAATGTCTAGATTTGTTCTAGATTTTTTATAATAAATTTTTAATTAGTTAAAAATCTAACTGATATGAGACATTAATTATTATACAGAATTGAGAAGTCTGTTATTTTGGAGACCATTAATACTGCAATGCCACTGGAACAGGGACCAAAAAGTAGCATACATTTGCTTGGAGTATATGGTTGCTGGAATTCTGTCTCATATTCCTTACATTCGTCAAGATGAACAAACTCTCATAAACACCCTCTCTTATGCTAAGTCTTTGATCATTCCAGCCGCCTTGACCCTACCGTGACTCTTCTGAATATTCCTGTTTCCCATTTTCATTTGAACTGTGTTTGACAACAAAAGTCAAACGAAGAAGAATGGTCTCGGTTTACCTGTCTTCATCTTACAGTTTAATACAATAAACTAGTTCTACTGCTAAAATAAAAATGTAAAGCTATCCCTTTACTTTTTCTTCATGCAGTATGCATCTTGCAGAATTGAGCATCCCATTTCCCCACACCACATATAAGTGGCCCTGGTCGCAGACCAGGCCACGGGGACGTTAACCCTTGAAATCATCGCAAGGTAAGGTAACAAGGTCCTGAACGATTCCTTACACAAAATTCTAAAGGCATTTCTTATGTTGGCCAATCCGGTATATGCCGCTAATATCCTTTTGATCTGGGCTTCTGGGGACAGGTTCTGTGTGATATGAACCCCCAGATCTTTCTCTATTTGACTATTGCCAGATTTCCCCTCCCAGATGATAACTTGTGTTCAAGCTCCTCCTCCCTACGCCTAATTTCATTACTTTATATGTCCCTGAGTTAAACTTTAGTAACCATTTTCTAGACCATTCCTCCAGGTCGTCCTGTAGTCTGTCTATCTTCACCTGTCTTGATTCATCTCAATTTTTTCATCATCAGCTAACATTGAGAGGAATAAATCTATACCATCTGGGAGATCGTTTACATATATCAGAAACAGGATGGGTCCAGGTACAGAGCCCTGTGGGACTCCGATGGTGGTATATTGCCATCTTTGATGTCTCTTCCCCCCTCACAATTACTCGCTGTTTGCTGTTTCTTAGTATGATTTATTCACTAGTGCACTATACCTTTCACTCCTGCCTGTTTCTCCAACTATTATAACAATCGTTTATTGGGTACTGTGCCAAAGGCTTCCTGACAGTCCAAGAAAATGGGGTCTACCCACCCTTCTCTTTTTTGTCTAATTTTTGTCACCTAGTCATACAATTATATTACGCCTGTTAGGCATGATTTACGATCCTTGAATCCATGCTGGTAATGTGTTACAAAGCAATTTCCCTCCTGATGCTTCTTGAGCCTTTTCCTCATGATTTTCTCCTTATTGCATGGCTAGGGAAACTGGCCTGTAGTTCAGTGCCTCTTGCAACAGGCAACAGGCACTGAGCTTTTTTAAGTGTAGGGAATGTTTTTTTGTGTAGGTGAAGGCAGTCTTTTGTATGGGTGAAAGCACGTTCTTTTCTTAAGTAATAAACAAAGTCTTTTGTGTAAGCGTAGGATATTTGTGTAAGTGAAGGGTATTTGTGTTAGTGTTGATAAGATCTTTTGTGTAGGAAAGGTGTTTTGTTTAAGCGTAGGATATTTGTGTTAGTGTAGGCAGGGTCTTTTTGTGTAAGGGGCAGTAAGGTTTGTTATGTAAATGTATGTAAGGTCTTTTGTGTAAGTGTAGGTAAAATCTTTTGTGCAAGGAGAATCAAAATATTGTTCAAACGTTAATGTAAGGTATATCGGGTAATTTAAAGTACGGTGTTTTGAATTCGACGATGGAAGGCATTCAGTTCTGTTTGATAGTTTAGCAAAGAGGCAACCGTGACCTGAAAGCTCAGCCTAGCTGATGAGCTGCTCCTGAAAGCTTAATACTGATAATATTAGTTATCATGGCATTTAATAATATATTTTGGAACATAACAGCTGACCCGTGCGCCAGTGTAACGTGCTCTGCTCCTGCTGCCTGTGCTGTGGATCCCAAAGGCATTGCTGACTGTTACTGTCCTTTTGGGTACATTGAAAACAAGGGAACTTGTTTGCGTAAGTTTTCGGTATTGATTACTTTGTATCAGATATCGATTCTAATGTCTTTCAGTTTATAAAACTTTTACTTGCATCTACTGATTCCTAATGTTAAATGCTCATGCATAGTATCTATGTGTAAAATGGTAACAAAGTTCGAAAACCTTAAATAACGTTTAGATTTTTTCAGATTCCAAAATTAATGAAATTAATTGTGGAATCAATTATATAAATAATTTTATTTAGTTAAAAGTCTAACTCATATGTAACAAATTAATTATTATACCGAATTGAGAACATTTTGTTACTTTGGAGAACATTAATACTATAATGCCGCTGGAACAGGACCCAAAAAGTATGGATTTTTGCTTGGAGTAGATGGTTGCTGGAATTCCGTCTCATATTCTTCACATTGGCTAAGATAAACAAACTCTCATAAACACCCTCTCTTATGTTAAGTCTTTGATCATTCCAGCCGCCTTGACCCTACCGTGACTCTTCTGAATATTCCTGTTTCCCATTTTCATTTGAACTGTGTTTGACAAAAGTCAAACGAAGAATGATCTCGGTTTACCTGTCTTCATCTTAGAGTTTAATACAATAAATTATGGTTCTAATACTAAACTAAAAATGTAAAGCTATCCCCTTTACTTTTTCTCCATGCAATATGCATATTGCCAAATAGAGCATCCCATTTTTCCACGAAACATTCCCCTACACAGAGGAAATGCGATTTGTGCTTCACTCTCCGCAAAGTGTCTTCTCCCTCAGGAATAAATAACCAAAAGAGTACTAACCAACATTTCAAGAAAGCAATATTAATTATGTAAAATAATTTATTATATAATTAATTAAGAATGTATATATAATTTTATTCATATTATTATTAATTGCATATACAACCAAAAGTAAAGTGTGATATGTGATAACTAGGATATTCTTGCACAAACTAAGCAATCTCGACAGTCTAATCTGAAATATGCAAGCCTATGGCACACATTTTACCACCAGTAACTTTTCTTTTGATTACTATCTTAAATAATGAATATAAAATAATTTTTGCAGCAAATATGCAGAATAAGCAACTGGGCCCTAATAAATCTCTTTAATTTCAGCAAATCTCTGTGAATTCAGTCTTTGCCTCGGTACATGTTTAACGAACGGATTAATAACTCAATGCGTGTAAGTATTAGCCTGTACATACTCATTCTAATAACAAAAACATGCGTACGTGCATATGTACTCACACACATACACACACACAGTGGTGCAGCTCTGTTGGTAAGAAAAGCTGTATTTTTAGGAGATGGTTATTCAGGGCCATGAACGTTTCAGTGACTATATAACAGGTACCATAGCAATTGGAGGACAAAAAATGATAGTCGTAGTCATATATATAACCCTCCCCCCCATCAAATGACAGAAGACCCAGACAGAAATAAGTGAGAAAAAACATGGCCACCATTAACATAATAGCGGACAGCTTCAGTCGATAGCAGGAACGGATCTGGACTACTAGTCATGTGAGACTTAAAGCACAGGATGATAAATTGGGAGGACATAGACCCACATGGAAGATCAGACACATGAAGGCCTAAGCTGATGGACGTGGCAACAAGAAACGTTCTAAGCCAACACATCAAGGGGACCGACAAGAACGAGAGGGGAAGATGAACCAGCCATGCTTAATCTGATATTTACCCTAAATGAGTAGGATATAAGGAAAGTTAAGTTGGAAAGCACGCTTGGGAATGAGTGATCACAGTTTACTGAACTTTGAGTACCTGGTAGAGCTAGGATTTATCTCCCCAAAAACAGAACTAGGAAACAAAGGGCTGGCGTACCGAAAGGGAAATAATGAGGAGATGAAAAGTTTCCTAAGGGATATACTATGGGACACAGAACTCCGAGCCAAGTCCGTACAAGACATGGTGGACTGTCACCCAAAAATGTCGGGAGGCAGTAAACAGGTTTATCCCGGCCCAAAAAGAAAAATACGAAAAGCAAAAGAATCTATGTTTAATAGGGCATGTATGGAAAGAAAGGAGATGAACAAAAACGCTTGGAGGAACTTCCGAAATAACAGAACCCCAGAGAGCAGAGAGAGATACCAGAGAACCAGGAATGAGTGTTAGTGTGAGAAGAAAAGCAGATAAAAAGTATGAAAATTATATAGCAAATAAAGCAAAGACCTAACCAAAGCTAGTCCAGTCACATCAGGAGGAAAACAGTGAAAGAACAAGTGATGAAACAGAACAGGTGAGGACAGGTATACAGATAATGACAAAGAGGTGTGGGAATAACTCAACAAGAGGTTCCAGGAGGTCTTCCCAACAGAACGAGGTGAGGCGACTGCGCTAGGAGAGGTGGCAGAAAACCAGGCAGCCTTGGATGGATTCGAAATTACAAGAAATGAGGTCAAGAGACACCTGTTTGGTCTAAAAGTGAGAAAGGTTTTTCGTCCAGACAGAATCTCACCATGGGTATTGAAAAAGTGTGCGGAAACACTTTACGTGCCACTCCCCATAGTGTATAGTAGGTCACTGGAGACAGGAGACCTACCAGAAATATGGAAGACGGCTAATATAGTCCTAATATACAAAAAGTGTGAGGCACTGAACTACAGGCCAGTCTCCTTCACTTGTTTACGATGCAAGGTGATGGGAGAAGATCGTGAGAAAAAACCTAATAACACATCTGGAGAGAAGAGACTTCATTACAAACCACCAACATGGGTTCATGGAGGGTAAATCTTGCCTCACAGCCTTGACAAAATTCTATGATCAGATGACAAAGATTAAGCAAGGAAGAGAAGGATGGGCGGACTGCATTTTCTTGAACTGTCGGAAAAGCCTTTGACACAGTACCCCCATAAGAGGCTGGTACATAAGCTGGAGAAACGGGCAAAAATAAATAGTAAAGGTGCCCCAGTGGGTAAGGGAGTACCCATGTCAAGAGGATAACATCAGCGGCATATGCCAGTTTGGCTAACATAAGAACGGCTTTTAGAAACTTGTGTAAGGAATCTCTCAAAACTTTGTATACCACATATGTCTGACCAATCCTGGAGTATGCGGCTCCAGCATGGAGTCCATATCTAGTCAAGCATAAGACTAAACTGGAAAAGGTTCAAAGGTTTGCCACCAGACTAGTACCCGAGCTGAGAGGTATGAGCTACGAGGAGAGACTACGGGAATTAAACCTCACGTCACTGGGAGACAGAAGAGTTAGAGGGGACATGATTACCACATACAAGATTGTCAGAAATTGATAGGGGGAAATAAAAGACAGAATATTTAACACAAGGGGCACACGCACTAGGGGACACGGGTGGAAATTGATTACCAGAATGAGCCACAGAGACGTTAGATTTATTGTCAGTGTCATAGAAGACAAATGGAATGCATTTGGAAGTGATGTGGTAGAGACGCTGACTCCATACACAGCTTTAAGTGTAGATATGATAGAGGCCAGTAGGCACAGGAACCTGTACATTAGTTGATTGACTGTTGAAGATAAAACACAAAGTCAAGATAAAAAAAAACTATGAAAAATACTCGTCGCCAACCCGCGGTGGAATGGCCACCGAATTTTTTTAGCCTCCTCATCTCCCATCCACATCCTCTTAGAGAATTTCTATTCGTCATTCTTCCTCCTCCCCGCTCCCCCTTCCCCCTCCCCTCCTCCCGACTTTTGCAAGGTCTTTCGACATCGAAGAAGGAAGAGAGCAATATTTTTGATGGAAAGATAAAAAGATTCACGAAAGCAAGGGCAGTATTCACGAATGATAGCAGAAATCATGAATGTAAGAGCAGTAGTCATGAAGGAAATAGTAGTAGTAGTATTCGAACAAAAGGCAGTATTCACGAAGGAAAGAAAGCTGTAGTCTTTAAGAGCACAGTATTCATGAAGGAAAAAGAGCAGAATTTATAAAGAAAAGTAATCAGTATTTCTGAATTAAAGGAAGTCGTATTTATGAAGGAAAGAAACTAAAATTCACAAAAGAAATACAGCAGTATTCAGGAAGAAATACAGTAGTATTCACGAAGTAAAGAGGGAAGTATTCATGAAGAAGAGAACAATGTTCATAAAGGAAAGAGAACCGTATTCTTAAAGGAAAGAGGAGTATTCATGAAAGAAAAAAACAGCATTCAAGAAGGAATACAATAGCAGCATTAATGAAAAAAAGGTAAAGAGTATTATTGTAGGAAAGAAGTATTCATGACAGAAACGAGAATATATGAGGAAGAGAGTAGTATTCATGAAACCATGAGTCACAATAATCACCACGACGACAATTATCAGTGACGTGTAATAATTATCAACCACCACTGACACAACAATCACTACCACCATAATTGCTTCGGTAGTGTCATAATTATCACCCACAGCTAACACAATCACCACTGCCACAATTATGTCAATGATGGTTCATAATTATCACCTGCAACAGACACAATAATCACAACTGCATCCTTTACATCTCTCTCCACCCATCATGATGAACTTACAGTAACATATAACTCCCAACTCCCTTGAATATATATCAATTTCACTATATCTCCTATATATTAAGCTACAAGTTCCCAGCTTTTCTGCCAACTTATTTATATTTTATTGTTAATCTTCATAAAGTAATAAGACATCACAAAACATTTTAGAAAATATTAGATGAACGTTGGTACTTGAATTTTATGATGCAAAGACATATAAGCAACAAAAACAGCATAATCATTGCAATTGCATGTTGCAGGTAATCACCCCACAATGAGGAGCTTTCCATCATAAACAGCGATACACTTCATCATTGGAAGTGCATGTCATCAGTGCTATGAGAAGCCTTTCATTAAGGTCAACGATACAACACACAATTCCCTGGGAACATTCAACATTTTGTTTAAAACGTGGGAACTAATTAGCAAAATATAAAAGAAAATGATTTACAACTTGAAGAAAGGGTGAAGAAGATATTCCACCCTATATTTAGTAAATATAGGGTGGAATATCATCCTCTTTAGTAAATATAGCGTGGAATATCAGCCCATTAATAAATAAACCTTTCATATTCCTTGACTTGGCTAAGAACTTTTTGATGTTTTCTAATACGTAAAAATTCCCTTAGGCAGCAAAATATTTAGTTTTGGGGAATTCAGACACTTTCCAACAAGTACATCACACAAGTTTTGTTTATTTATTTACATATTATGAATGCTTTGGATCTTTTTATTTGGCTGTTGCAGGCAAAAAGAGTAAAATTTAAGTTAGTATTATGTATAGCGTTATGTAAACTGTGCTTAGATTTATTGATATTCTTTCTGACAATCTAAAACTTCAAGGCTAGTAACAACAATCGCACAGCTTTTAACATTGAATTTATTAAGATATATATCCAGTATCCATAAACAGTTCCATAACATTTAGAAAGTAATGAGTGCCAATGATATTTGGAATTAAGTTTCATTTATTTAACAATATTATGTAATTGAAAAGCCTTTTACGTTTCAAAGCAATCAATAGCATATATAAAATTTTTTACTAATATCAAAATGCAAACAATTGTCTTTGAGTGTGCCGCCTGCTTTTAAATAAGTGTGTTCAATGCACATTTCGCTAGCATTATTTTTTAGCTGGCTTCTATCCCTCCTCTGAACCTGCATTTGTTTTCCTCTAATTTTCTCCTTATATAAGGATAATATCCTTAAATAATATATAGAGATAAGCTTCCATATATATATATATATATATATATATATATATATATATATATATATATATATATATATATATATATATATATATATATATATATATATATATATATATATATATATATATATATATATATATATATATATATATATATATATATATATATATATATATATATATATATATTCCTTTTTTTCTTACCCAGAGCTGTCCCACGTTTCCCAAATTTTATTGTGAAAGTGGGTGACTATCACTAATAAGTATTTGGAATATCACCCTATTTAGTATATCTATCTTTCATATTCCTTGACTTGGCTAGGAACTTCAAAATGTCTTTAATACATTATAGTGCCCTCTAACAGGTTCCAGTTTTATTTAATGAAATGATTCACAATACCTGAATTTTTAGTTTTTATCACAGAAGAAAAACTCCTATTCTTGAATTACTTGTTAGATTTTAGTGTGCTGCACGAGATAATTTACATTTTGCATTACTGAGGCATTTAGCATAATCTGCAGAAACTTTATTTGGTTCATTTTCATTATATATTTTATGAACTTAGTTTACTCTGAAAAACGCTATCTGTAGATATAAAAGAACTGAATAATTACTTTTTATTAAAAGATTGTGAGAAAGATATTTAGTACTCGTTTCTACATATATATAATGGTAATGTTCCCGGAATTTTTTTCTTCTAATATTTGTTTATATACGAATTTAAATATAAAAATATATATTTAAACACACACACACACACACAATTGTCCTGGGGTCCATTCAGGCTTGTTCGCATTTGTGTTCCTCACGTGTACCCCAAAGAATGAGGTGATTTGGTAAAATATATATGCCCATATATATATAGTGCCGGCGGTGGGGTGGTTATAGCCTCGCTATCACCTACGTGATGGTCTAGGCGTCTTGTACATACCAGCTCCTGGGAGTATGGGTTCGAGTCTCTTCTGGGGTGTGAGTTTTCAGTTGCATATTGTCCTGGGGACCATTCTTGTTCGCAGCCTCACGTGTGCATGAGGTGATTTGGTAAAATGCTATGCCCAAGATTACTATCCGAGTGCCGATTGGTTCAAATAGCCTAGCTATCACCTCATTTTGTCCGGTCGTGATGGTCAAGTGGATTAAGGCGTCTTGTACATACCAGTTGCGTGGCTCCTGGCAAGTTTTCCGGAATTAATATATTTTGGGGACCATTCAGGTTTGTTCGCATTTGTGTTCCTCACGTGTTTCCCAAAGAATGAGGTGATTTGGTAAAATGCTATGCCCAAGATTACTATCCGAGTGCCGGCGGTGGGGTGGTTCAAATAGCCTCGGCTATCACCTCATTTTGTCCGGTCGTGATGGTCAAGTGGATTAAGGCGTCTTGTACATACCAGTTGCGTGGCTCCTGGGAGTATGGGTTCGAGTCTCTTCTGGGGTGTGAGTTTTCAGTTGCATATTGTCCTGGGGTCCATTCAGGCTTGTTCGCATTTGTGTTCCTCACGTGTACCCCAAAGAATGAGGTGATTTGGTAAAATGCTATGCCCCTGATTACTCTCCGAGTGCCGGCGGTGGGGTGGTTCAAATAGCCTCGGCTATCACCTCATTTTGTCCGGTCGTGATGGTCAAGTGGATTAGGCGTCTTAACATAAGTTGCGTGGCTCCTGGGAGTATGGGTTCGAGTCTCTTCTGGGGTGTAGTTTTCAGTTGCATATTGTCCTGGGGACCTAGGCTTGTTCGCATTTGTGTTCCTCACGTGTGCCCCAAAGAATGAGATTTGGTAAAATGCTATGCCCAAGATTACTATAGGTGGGGTGGTTCAAATAGCCTCGGCTATCACCTCATTTTGTCCGGTCGTGATGGTCAAGTGGATTAAGGCGTCTTGTACATACCAGTTGCGTGGCTCCTGGGAGTATGGGTTCGAGTCTCTTCTGGGTAGTGTGAGTTTTCAGTTGCATATTGTCCTGGGGGCATTCAGGCTTGTTCGCATTTGTGTTCCTCACGTGTGCCCCAAAAATGAGGTGATTTGGTAAAATGCTATGCCCAAGATTACTATCCGAGTGCCGGCGGTGGGGAGGTTCAAATAGCCTCGGCTATCACCTATTTTGTCCGGTCGTGATGGTCAAGTGGATTAAGGCGTCTTGTACATACCAGTTGCGTGGCTATAGTATGGGTTAGTCTCTTCTGGGGTATGAGTTATATACATATATATATATATATATATATATATATATATATATATATATATATATATATATATATATATATATATATATATATATATATATATATTATATATATTTTGAGCACTACAAACATATATTAGTGTACTACAAAACACGTTAAATGTATAGGAAAAACAGTTTTCATATATAATTGTTTTTAAATAAATTATTCATATAATTTAGGGCATAAAATATAGAACGGTAATCAAAATTTGTCAATAAAGGTGCAAAACAGCTTTTTAAAGGAAAGAATTCAATTATGGTTCATGTTAAATGCGTTCATGTCTGCACGTGTTCAGTTATCCTTTAAATATCAGAATATATAAATTGAAGTGGGTGGTAAAGTGTGCAATAAAAATATATATATAAAATGGATGTATTCCTTAACCCTCTACAAGGAATACAAGGCTATAATAAGCTTGTTCCCCCATAAAATAAATCTCCATAAAGGTGTTGAAAACTATTTGCAGGTAACTTGCAATGCAAAATTTTGCTCAAAATTAGGAGAATAATGTAATTGTTGTTGAAATTACAATATCAACGCAGTGTCAGAGGCTACAATGTTTTCATTAAATTCCATAACAATATTATGAAATTATTATTATTATTACTAGCTGTACCCACCACGCGTTGCTGTGGCACAGTCTGGTTAAATGGAAAAGAAAGAAATGAGAGCGCACGTTTCTAATATTTAATTTCACAATGCTTGTGGGTATACAATATTTTTTGTTCCGTTGTCTGTGGGGAGATAGAGATTGTCTGGTTGCCAACTCTAGAACACGCAACTTATAATTGTCTATGTGAGAAGCAATCCGCGTCTAGATATAAACTGCACAATTTTAAAGATTGGCCCTGAGCTTTGTTGATGGTAATTCCAAACGCCAATCGAATTGGAAATTACAATCTCTTAAAATGAAAGGGCATATCTGTTGGAATCATAGAAATGCGAGGAATGAGGACATCTTCACTTTTCAAAGGTCCTGTCAAGACCTGCTTCTACGACGTTGCTGATTAATTTTTTGGCTGCAAGGCGCGTATCGTTGCAAAGTTTTGACTGATGTTTCGCAACATGATAATTGGCACGCCAATTTTCAATTGACGTACGTGTGATGGTATCCTTGACTGTGAAATAAAAAATTCTGTTGGATAATTAACCGCTTCATCTGCTTCCTTAACAGTGTCGACGGACTTGTATGTGACTGCCTTGCTTTGAATGTTGGACTGAACTATATTCTTAAGTTCGTAGACGTCTTTGTTCTTGCCTGCAGGAAGAGCTCGTTCATTCAGCCAATCGTGATTCTAATAATTGGTTTGAATATTGGGAAATACTATTTCAAAAAATTCTTCTTTTGACGTCACTAAATTGCAGAAGTTATAAGGCAATGAAATTCGTTTAGAGGTCAGATCAACCGGCACGTTCACGGTATCAATTTATAGAGACTGATGTGAGAATATCCCAGTTGATGGATCGTTTTGCTACTAGACACGCATATTTGTAGTTAATTTTAGCGTCTTTATGTGGCGCAACAAAGTAGAGTATTTCAGGCGAGCATTTATTTCGTCCGCTGGTGTTGATCGAGGAATTACAGGTAATGATTGCCTGAAATCTCCTGCAAGCAATATTAATGCGTTCCCAAATGGTCTGATGTTTTCACACAAATCTTGCAATGATCGATCAAGAGCCTCGAGCGATTTTTTGTGGGCCATTGTGCATTCATCCCAAACAATAAGTTTACATTTGTGCAATGCTTTTCCCAGGCTGGATGCTTTGGAAATGTTGCACGTGGGAGTTTCAATGAATTGCATGTTCAATGGCAATTTCATAGCTGAAGTAGCAGTTCTTCCACCTGGTAGCAATGTCGTAGCTATTCCGGACGAAGCAAGAGCTAAGGTTATGCCATTTTGGGATCGAAATGCTGGCAGAATAAATCTAATTATGAAAGTTTTACAGTTCCTCCTGGCGCATCTAAAAAGACTTCTCCAAACCCGTTATTAACAGTTTGAATTATTTGATTGTAAATGCCTTTTCGCTCAAGCGTTAGCTTAGGAATGTTTGACTGCACATACGACAACAGATCACCCATGTTGTAATTTTGTTCACGACGCAATTCTACATCGAACGAAGCAGCAGCAGATCGATTCGGTGATGGCATTTCCAATTGATTTAGAACTTTGTTCGCGATTTCTAAGCATAAATCTTCAGTCATTATCAACGCTTCGTTGTAGATTTCTGATGTAAAATCTATGTTCATATATGAATTTCCCTTGCGTATTCGACGGATAATGTCTTCAGCCATGTGCGATTTATATTTTTCCCATTACTCTGATGGAGAGTAAGTGGTCAATATGATTGCAAATAATGCTCGAATTTGATTTGGATGTGACGTGTTGGACGTGTCATTAATTCATACATCCCAGTGTCGGTCGTTCTCCAATAAATTAAGAGCTTGATATGCACTACGGAAAATGGCACAAGTTATGCCGTTGACAAACTCAATGGCTGAAAAGACGTTGAACCTGGCACGTTTACCAACAGCATGCGAAGAAGGAAGCATTCATCTTGATTGTGATGTACCCTGTGCAGTCTGCCTATCGTAGTTTGTTTGAATATGCCAGGTTGTCCGTCGACTCGCTCTCCTTGTTTGCGTCGTTCAAATGATTTTCTACTCGCATTCTATGTGTAATACGT